TCTGTTAGGAAATACAGTCTCTTCTGGAGAGTACACATTGTATTTTTTCCTTGAAAGCAGACATTCGAGAACAGACACTGACCACCTTTTTTGCTTCATAGAGAATATACACAGGCTAATGTCCCTGAAGGCTTATCCTGAGTTACCAGTATTCAGCTTCTAGGAACTCTGCCTCTAAAACAGAAGCAATGGCAAAGAACCATGCCTAGAAGCCCCTGATTGCATAATGGCATTGTACTATCCATACTGTTTTTACTGTATACAGCGTTCTCTGCATACAATGTAAGAGGAAATGGCTTTGCAAATAACTAGGTCTGCTACAGTATCCTGCTATAGAGGTTCCCGATTTCAGAGTGATTTCTGCTTGATAAAACTGAGATGTCTGATCTCCAAAGACCAAACATGACAGACAGGCATGAGCTCCAACTGACAAACAAACATGGAAGTAGGAGACAGCCTGCTCTTTGTCTAACTTGTTCACAGAATGTTACAGAGGCATAAACCAAATTTGAAGAAATCTATCCTGGAAAGAAAACAGAGCTCCAAGACTTGAGCTGAAGGTTCAGAAAATGATTTCATATTGCCAGTCAGGCTGAATTAAAAACTGTTTTCTTGAAGACCAAAACAAAATAAACTTATACACTGGGAAACAAAGAAAGCTGAAAAACATTTAGAGGTTAAGAAGGAAGACATGTAAAAATCTGAACCACATCAGAGGATGTTCCCCTGTGGCCCATGACTGGCAGATCTGGTTTCACCTCCAGTTCTAAAAGCAGGCTGAGGTCTTCCTTTTAATAAAGGCTTATGTGGCAGTGTAATGAAGACTAGATCCATTAGTTATAAACTGAAAGGCAGATATTAAAAAGAAACCCAAAAAAACCTTTCAAATTATGCTTTCAAAAAGCTCTTAAAATTACTACACGTATATACTACCGATAGAGCAAGAAATCAGTTTCTCATAGTTTTTCTTATTTGAATTACACAAATCAGGATATCTTGCTTACAGATAACCTTACTTTCTAGGGGTTTTAGGTTGTTTTTTTTTTACCATCACTGTCTTGGCAAAGGGAAGCAGAGTTAAATTTTGTGAACCTCTCTACTTAGATTCTAGAAACATTCTGTCCTCATTTCGCTTCCATTCTGTATGCATACCTTTGAATAAGCTGTAATGTCCTCTATCAACTATTTAGCTTTTATATTTTATTGTTTCTGAAAAGTGACAAAAAATATTGAGGACATACACATACTGCTTTTTTGTTCTTGCCAGTGTTACGTATGCAAAGCAAAGAAAGGGAGAGTTGAAATCTCCTTCTTCTTCTGCATCAACAGATCATTTAATAAATTCCAGTGAGTGGAATTAATAAATACAGTTGTGCAACCCTATTAAACACAATGGAGTTACAGAGGCATAACCAGAGGCTTAATTTGGCTACCAACACTTTTCTTACTCACGCTAGAGAATAAAAAGGAAAGCACCCAGCCTGATTTCAGGCTGACAGTTAGGAGAGAAATGCATCTTTTTACCTCCCTGAAGATACTTGTTACGGAAGCATGTATTTTCTGAGTCACTGGTAATACATGAATGTAATATAGCTCAAATTCTACTCACTGACACAGTGGCAACCAAAATTACTGGCTGCATACGTCACTCCAACGTCAGGACAGCCCTGCACCTATCATGCAGGAGTGCACAGTCTTGTACTCCCACAAGTTCTGAATTTAGTGCACATAAATTGCAACTGTCTTGCACAAAAGGAGCACATTTGATGGTTTCTGAATGACTGAGGCTGACTGAACATACACAAACCGAAAACTCAGCACTTGCAGAAGTCTCCACTGTGCCACACCTGTGCCAGAAGAATTCTCTGCTTGTGCACGCGGGTCTGTCGCCCAGAGGGAAGCTGAGCAGCACCGCCTCAATCACCACTGCGCCAGTGGCTATCACCTTGCCTGGGCAATCTTCACCTTTTCCCT